CTCCACCCCAGTTGTGATTTCACAGACCCCTGTCAGACCCGCCCCGTAGTCATCTCTTTTTTTTTAACCTGGATTTGTGCAGGAAATAGCCCAACTTCATTATCATGCACATTGTGTAAAGAGTTGTCACTTTGGATGGGCTATCACCAGCAGGAGAGTGAATTTGTGTGGGGGGGTGGAGGGTGAGAAAACCTGGATTTGTGCTGGAAATGGCCCACCTGATGATCACTTTAGATAAGCTATTACCAGCAGGACAGTGGGGTGGGAGGAGGTATTGTTTCATATTCTCTGTGTATATATAAAGTCTGCTGCAGTTTCCACGGTATGCATCCGATGAAGTGAGCTGTAGCTCACAAAAGCTCATGCTCAAATAAATTGGTTAGTCTCTAAGGTGCCACAAGTACTCCTTTTCTTTTTAGTCTCTCCTCAGTGGAAGCTGCTCCATCCCCTAATCATAGGTGCCGACCCCATGGGGCTGGAGCACCCACGGGGAAAAATTAGTGGGTGCTCTGCACCCACCAGCAGCCAAGCTCCGCTCCTCCGCCTCCTCCCCTGAGCATGTCGCATCCCCGCTTCTCCACCTGCCTCACAGCAATTCCCGCCTGGCCACCGCCAAACAGCTGTTTGGATGTTCTGGGGGCAGGGGGAGGAGCGGGGAACGTGGCACACTCGGGGAGGAGGCGGGGAAGAGGTGGGGCCAGAGCAGGGATTTGGGGAAGGAGTCAGAATAGGGACAGGGAGGGGGTGGGTTGGGGTGGGGACTTTGGGCAATGGGTTGGAATGGGGGTGGGGCAGGGGCGGGGCCTCATGGAAGGGGTGGGGGTGGGGCGGGGGTGGGGCAGAGGAAGGTCAAGCACGCACCGGTGGGAGCAGAAGTCGGCGTCTATGCCCCTAATCATTTTTGTTGCCCTTCTCTGAACTTTTTCCAATTCTAATATACCTTTTTTGAGATCTGCAGGCAGGATTCAAGGTGTGGGCGTACCATGGATTTATACAGTGCATTACGATATTGTCTCATTGTTTCCTTATATTCCCTCCTCTATCTGCATCCAGCTGTTGTCTCTTGTCTTATACTTAGATTGTAAACTCTTTAGGGCAGGGACTGTCTTTTTGTTCTGTGTTTGTACAGGGCCAGGCACAAAGGCATGTTGGGCCATGCTTGGTGCTTCTAGGTGCTACAGTAATACAAGTAATTAATAGTTTTAATAACTCACTTCTGCTGTCCAGGCTAAATGAAGTATCTGAACTCTGACTGTGTCTGGCATAAGCCCCATGTTAGATTCTAACTCTTTCTCCAGGTCTGTGTTTATGATGATCAAAAGAACTTGAGCTAGTGTAAATGACAGTGGCTACAATCCAGATAGATTAACCAGCCTTAAGGGCCTTGGGACAGTGGCATATGCTCCTGTAGTATTGCACTTTCCAATTTTCCTACAATTAGGCTTGCATCAAACAGCATTGTCACATAAACCACATGATCAAAATCATCGAGCCTTTCATGCTGTTGCAGAAAGGTTCTAGTTACACAGTGGCCAACTGCATCCAAGTTTGCATCGCGGCTGGAGCACTGACCCAGAGCTTGGGGCGCGAGGGCTCTAGGGCCTGATATGGTCGTGACCCCCTTGTATTACACCCTCATTCGTAATGACGATTGTTTGTATAATGCTGTAAGTGTCCACAGTGCTATACAGAGCCAGGAAAATACCCAGCCCCTACTTCAGCTGCTGAGTCTTCGCCACTGACAAAGATTCCCAGGAGTGGGTTTAAGCAGTGCTTCATTTGTGTCGGGGCTTGCTGGGGCTGAGCTACAGCCCCGCCAGGCTTGGTAGTTCATAGCTCTGGCACCTCTGGGCCCCCAGCCAGCAGCCACGGCTCTCTGGCCACCCAGTTTTGAAGGCAGCACCAGCACCAACACAGAAGGGTAGCAATACACCAGACCAGGCCACCCTCACTTCCGCGCTGCTGCTGGCTGCGGCGCTGCCTTCAGAGCTGGGCTCCCAGCCAGCAGCCGCCGCTCTAGTGCTAAGCTAGTGCTTAATTTGTGCTGGGGCCTGTCGGGGCTAAGCCCCAGCGTCTCTTTCATTACAAATGAAGCACCGGTTTTGAGAAGGGGTTCAAAGAAGAGGGAAGTGACTGGCACACAGGTTGTTTGAGGCTGTTCAGCTCATAAGGGGAGGCATGAAGGAAAGCATGAAACTAAGAGGGGGAGAAGGAGGCAAAGGGCGTAGTTAGAAAAGATGATCTGGAGAAGTTATAGGATGAAGTGGCAGCAGAGAGCGATGAGGAGCAACCGAGCAGAGCAGTGCAGAGTTTTGAGAGCCAGCCAGCGTTGCACTGTGACGTTCGGGCTGCTTGTGTTCTTAGAGCTGTTGCTTTTAGGTCTTGTTCAGCCGACCAGATGTACCTACGATCAGCTGACAAGATGGTAAACGCCATTTGTCCCTGTCTACACCGACTGCAAAGTCATGTTTAACATCCTGTTACTTCTACTGTAAGTTCTTTGGAGCACAGACTGACTTGTTCTGTGTTTGTACCGAGTCGAGCACAATGGGGTCCTGGGCCATGACTGAGGTTCCCAGGTGCTACCTCAGTACAACTAGTAAGTCGTAGCTACCACAGCTCCTCAAAGTCGTGTTCTAACAGGATGTAGTTTTCCAGTGAAGACAAGTCCTTACACAAGTAGTTAACAACCCCTTCTTCTTCCTTTGTTTTTTTAACTGGGGCCAGGGCAAACTTGATATGCTACTCCAGGAAACTGACCTTCTGCATCCTGAAGTTCTGGAGCTCTACTTCTCCTCCTCCACCGTCTCCATAACAATCTGGTCTCACCATTCAGTGCGTGTTGGCTGCTGCTGCTCTGAGAATTGATCGAACAGGAATACCTGACTGGCATCAAAGCAGGGTTTCTCCTCTGGTGACTTCCTCTGCTTGCGATTGTTCTAGCTGGTGCCTTGGGGCCAGTCCAATATAGCAGAATCTGACCTCATAATGAACAGGAATGGTTATTCCTCTGGGCCTCATCCATACTGGTGGGGAACAGTCTGGAAATGACAGGGGCAACAGTTCAGTCCTAGGATACTGGGAAAGAACAGGGATGATGAGTGTGTGATGTCTGCTCCCCAAATTCCCTTGCAAGTCAGCAGGTATCCCACAATATGCCAAGAAAATTGCCCAAAATCCAGGGAGCCTGGAGGCAGTGCAAGGGACTCTGGGATACCTACCTGCACTGCACCCTGCTTACAGCGTGGCACTGTGTGGACGCAAGTGATGTTGCTTGCATGGATGCAAACACAATGGTGTGAAATACTGAAACGAGGGTTTCATCAGTGTATTACAGGGGTAAGTCACAGCAGGACAAGCACAGTTTTCCACCAGCGCAGTCTGCCTGCATTAGCTACATTGACAGAACTGCTCAGCTGTGTGTCATAGGCCCTATACTCTTCAGCGACCAATGGAGATTCCCTTTTAGCTCAGATGACAAGGCTCTGGTTCTAGCCATGCTGTTGCAGTGAAGTTCTCGGCAGCTGTGGGGTGCACCATACTGCCATTGAAATCCTCTGCGGCCTGGCACTAGGCTGCAGAACTCATCTGTAGGGCCTTAACCATCCCCCCCACAGGGGCATCATTTCAGAAAAAATCAGGTCAAGGGGGGTTAGCGGGCTGGTCCCATCTCAGAGGGGGCAGGGAGGAGGCAGCCTGGTCCTATCCCTGGGAGGTGGGGGGCATTCTGGGGAGTGTCTCACTCATGGCCAGCAAGGGGCAGAGGTCAGGGCTTAACTCACGCTGTAGTCAGCTCTGGCCCATGCTGCTGCTGCAGCTTCCTGCCTGCCCAGGGGGAAATGAGGGTGATGCTGACACTGTGGCACTGCAGCATGGGCTGGTGAGGAGCTATGAAAAAGCAACTGCCTCTCCCCACCCTCTAGCAAACGATGCTCCCAAGCACTCCACCCATTCAGCCATGGAGCAGGGAGGCCCTGGGCACGATGTCGTACCCCAGTGCCATGCTGGGTCACTTGCAGCCACATCCTCCTAGGCAGCGGCAGCTACTTGTTTTAGTTTGCAAGGCCCTTTGTGGTCGATCCCCACCCCACCTGTCAACTCCCACACGCGACTGAGAGATCAACTTCTGCCTCTGCTCTGCCAATGCCTTGAGCCTTCGCCACCCACTCGTTAATGTTTTCAGATGAACACCTTCACGTTGTCTCCTATACCACCTCTTGCAGTCGGGAGGAGCACGTCATAAACCTCTACCAACCTACTCACCGCCCTCCTTTAAAATCCTCTTTTGCTGCAACAATTCGCTACAAATCACAACACCTGCTGCCCTGCGAGACAGCTGCCCAGCGCTCCGACCAGCATCGTCTCATTGTTTCCTTCTGCTCCCCCTCAGTCTGTCTGTAGCCACCCGTTGGCTGTCGATTGCAAGCGGTTTGGGGCAGAGACCAGTTCTTTGTTCTATGTCTGTACAGCGCCTAGCGTAACTGGGGGCTGGGCCCTGCCGAAGGTCCTAGGCTTTAGCACAGTGACGACAGTGAGGATAATGGGGAATTGCAAACTTGGGAGCATCAAAAATTCTCGAGTCAGACCTGGTAAAACCCAAAGACAAATGTTGGGCTGGCACATGAGCCACCAAGCTACACCTGGGCCCGCTTCCAACCTCCCTCTGCAACCACCAGAGCTAGAAACTTCCTTTAAAAAAAAAAAAAAAAGAAGCCAAGGGCCGCCCTCATCACATGACTCCAGGAGACGAGCCTGTAAGAGAAAGATCAGCAGACTAATGGGACTCCTCGCAGTGATACTGCACAGGCTTGCCCACCTACAGCCCAAATAGACTACAACTCCCATCAGCCACCGCTGCCCGCCGTCCGGCCTGGCATGCGCAGAGCGGCTGCGGGGCGCGGATGGGCGGTCGCCGCGCGGCATGCCGGGAGCTGTAGTGCCTCTATGCCTCCCAGGCGCTTGCCTGTGCCGCCGCTGGGGACTACGTTTCCCGTGGGTCTGCGGGCGGCGCGTGCGCCCTGCCAGGGGAAGCGGCGGTTCCTGCTTGCGCTGGCTGCGGCCTGCCTGGCACTGAGGGAGGGGGCGGCCCAGGCCCCGGACCGGCGGCGGCGGAGCGGGGCTATGGACCCGGCGGAGGCCGTGCTGCAGGAGAAGGCCCTGAAGTTCATGGTGAGGGGCAAAGGGCCGGGGCCCCTGGCGGGCTGGAGGACGGGTGTGGGGCCGACTAGGGGGAGGGGCAAGTGGGGGGGCGTGCTGAGGTTGGGGGGCAAAGGGCTGGGGGCGGGGGGCGTGCTGAGGTTGGGGGGCAAAGGGCTGGGGGCGGGGGGCGTGCTGAGGTTGGGGGGCAAAGGGCTGGGGGCGGGGGGTGTGCTGAGGTTGGGGGCAAAGGGCTGGGGGTGGGGGGCGTGCTGAGGTTGGGGGGCAAAGGGCTGGGGGCGGGGGGCGTGCTGAGGTTGGGGGGCAAAGGGCTGGGGGCGGGGGGCGTGCTGAGGTTGGGGGGCAAAGGGCTGGGGGCGGGGGGTGTGCTGAGGTTGGGGGCAAAGGGCTGGGGGTGGGGGGCGTGCTGAGGTTGGGGGGCAAAGGGCTGGGGGCGGGGGGCGTGCTGAGGTTGGGGGGCAAAGGGCTGGGGGCGGGGGGCGTGCTGAGGTTGGGGTGTGGGGCCGACTAGGGGGAGAGGCAAGTGGGGGGCGTGCTGAGGTTGGGGGGCAAAGGGCTGGGAGAGGGGGGAGTTGGGGGGCGGGCTGCTGAGTTTGGGGTGGGGGGAGTTGGAGGGGCGGGCTGCTGAGCTTGGGGCGGGGGGGCCTCCTGGGAGGGAGGGGTCAGTGTTTGGGGGAGCCAGGCGTTGGGGGGACAGGTGAGCGCTAAGCTGTGGGATTCCCAAGGGTTGGGGGAGGGTAAAGGGCTGGGGAACAGGGCATGGGGGGGTGCTGAGCGGCGGGAGGCAAAGGCCTGGGGAAGGTAGGCTTGGGGGAGGGGAAGGGATGGGTGGGCACCTGAGGGGGTAGGAGCAGGTGGTGATGGTGAAGGCAGTATTGGGAGTCTCAAAGGGTGAACACCAGAGTGTTGAAGCACGGGGGGCACTTGGGGCAGAACTGGGTGGGGAAATATGCCACGGTGCTGAGTCAGGAAGGGGGCAAGTTCTGGAATATGCGAGGCAGGCGCCTTGGAGGAAGAGTGAGTGCTGGTATGGGGGGAAGGCACCTGAACAGTTGTAAAGGTGGCCAGTGTTGGCAGTACATAGTGAGACAAGTAGTAGAGCTTGGGGTATCTTTTGGCTGGGTTGGGGGATGCTAGTGATGGGAGTAGGGCTTACCTATAGGAGGTGGGGTTAAATGTTGGGCTTTGGGTGCAAGAGCATGTGGACAAGAGACATTGCACTGGGGGACAGGGGGGCACCTGCAGTATGGTTGCAGTTCTCTGGTGGTCCTAGAGATTCTAAACAAGATTTCTAGCCTGATTTGGTGGTACGAGGTGACCCATCAAGCACTGGTGCCTGAGAGAGGTGAAGATTTTGTTCTGCATGTAGTTTGTGGGGTGTATTAGTTTCATCTGCACATCCGCTCTCCATAGTGGGGTTTCTTTTTAATTTTTCCCTTATGCCCCTTTTTATCTTGGGTGCGGAATTGTATATAATGATGTTTTAATCGGTTATGTTTTCCTGCTACATATCCTTGTTAATAGAGTGGATGTAAATAGCCATTATACTGTCTTGGTTTATAAATGGGCCTGTGGCACAGAAAATAGCTTTGGGCATCAGTAGCCAAATCAGTTTTCAAATTTGACTGTTTAGATTTAAGATAATATACTAAATGAAGCAGTTATATTCTTTTTTTTACCATTGTTGATATTTCTAGATTTTTGGTTGGAAAATAGCATCAAGAAACTGAAGCAAACAGTGATGCCAGCTTAATTAAATGCTAATTTTAGATGCTCTAAACTGTTCTGCTTCTAAGAATACATTTCAAGTGACTGGCAACATTTGCTGAAAGTTTATTTGTTGTGGATTAATGATTCAGTGGCACAGAATTAAATCTTTACTCATAAAGAGTCTAAAATACAGCTAACGTGGAAATATTGAAACACTAGATACAAATCTTGGCTTTCATTTGCACTTCAAAAGGTAGTAGAAAGTCTAAACTCTTAATTAGCTTCTATTTTTTTGTCTTGTAGAATTGATATCGGTTTTTAAATCTCTTGTTTCTGTTCAGATCATTGAATTCTTTTGCCAGTTCCTTGTATTTTTGTCAGGTTTATGGAATCTCAGGTTGAAGAGGTGAAAAAGATATTGGATGTCAAAATATCTTTGGCAGCAAAAAATGCCCTCTCCATATGTGATTGACATGAGGAGTATGCCATATCCCGTTGGATATATATCTGGCCATAATAATCCACTCATCTGTGACCTACCTCTAGGCTTGATAATTACAATTTATTGTAACTAGGAGTCATGAAGTCTTGCACCTTGAAAAAATTCCAGCTGTCTACTTAGTAGTACAGAGCACCATGTTGATGCTCCTGATTCCACATCGGCTCCCAATTGAATAAAGAGTCCAGTTCAAGGTCTCTGACCTGATATTTGGAGCCCTCCATGGTATTGACCCTAGGTATCTGATGGAATACCTGACCTTCCATGACCACAGCCAGGCTATGTTCTGCTGGAACAATGAAACGTCAATGAATTGGGAGAGGCGAGTCAGTGTGGGAGAAAGAACTTTCACAGGAACAGGCCATAGACTGTTGAACTCACTCTGAGTGTTGAGTGACCAAGGACTTCACTGAATTGAGGAATAAATGACAGAGTGCTTTGCTTTTTAGTTTTCCCTAAAAGAGTTCTTTACACACAGACATGCAAAACACACAAAGAAACAAAAGCAATCAAATAAGAAAAACGATAAACTAAGCATTTTATTTTATAAACTGGAAGGGAAGAGAGAGAGTCTTTTATTTGAAGATTTGTGAGTGCTGTGTAGCCTGTCACTTAAATCAGCTTCTGTACCAGTTGACTGGAGGATCACTAATGTGATGCTAGTTTTTAAAAAAGGTTCCAGAGGTGTTCCTGGCAATTGTAGGACAGTAAACCTAACTTCAGAAGCAGGCAAATTGGTTGAAACTATAGTAAAGAACAGAATTATTAGCCACATAGATTAACATGATTTGTTTGGGGAAGTCAACACAGCTTTTGCAAATCATGCCTTGCCAATCTATTAAAATTCTTTGAGGGGGTCAACAAACATGTGGACAAGGGTGATCCAGTGGATATAGTGTACTTGGACATTCAGAAAGCCTTTCACAGGGTCCCTCACCAAAGGCTCTTAGGCAAAATAATCTGTCATGGATAAGATGGAAGGTTCTCTCATGGATCAGTAATTGGTTAAAAGATAGGCAACAAAGGGTAAGAATAAATGGTCCATTTTCAGGGTGGGGAGAGGTAAATAACGGTGTCCCTCGGCGATCTGTACTGGGACCAGTGCTGTTCAACATATTCATAAATGATCTGGAAATAAGGGGTAAACAGGTGGCAAAATTTGCAGATGATACAAAATTACTTAAGATAGTTAAGTCCAAAGCTGACTGCGAAGAGTTTTGAGGGGACCTCACAAAACTGGGTGACGGGGTAACAAAATGGCAGATGAAATTCAATGCTGATAAATGCAAAGTAATGTGCATTGGAATACCTAATTCCAGCTATACATACAAAATGATGGGGTCTAAACTAGCTGTTGCCACTCAAGAAAGTGATCTTGGGGTCATCCTGGATAGTTCTCTGAAAACATCTGCTCAGTGTGCAGCGGTAGTCAAAAAAGCTAACAACGTTATGAACCATTAGGATTGGGATAGATGGTAAGGCAGAAAATATCATAATGCCACTGTATAAATCCATCGTATGCCCATACCTTGAATACTTCCTGCAGTTCTGGTCACCCCATCTCAAAAAAGATATATTAGAATTGAAAAGGTACAGAGAAGGGCAACAAAAAAGTGTATAGAACAACTTTGATATGATGGGATATTTAAAAGACTGGGACTTTTCAGCTTGGAAGAGACAAATAAGAGGGGATACGACAGAAGTCTATAAAATCATGAATGGTGTGGAGAAAGAATAAGGAAGTGTTTTATACCCCTTCCCATAACAGAAGAACTGGAGGTCACCCAATTAAATTAATAGGCAGCAGGTTTAAAACAAACAAAAGGAAGTACTACTTCACACAACACAGTCAGTCTGTTGCCAGGGGATGTTGTGAAGGCCAAAAGTATAAGTGGGTTCAAAAAAGAATGAGATAAGTTCATGGACGATAAGTCCATCGATGGCTATTAGCCAAGATCATCAGGGATGTGATCCTGTGCCCTGGGTGTCCTAAACTTCTAACTACCAAAAGCTGGGAGTGGATGATGGGATGGATCACTTGATAATTGTCCTATTCTGTTCAATCCCTCTGAAGCATCTGGCCCTTGCCACTGTCAGAAGATAGGATACTGTGCTAGATGGGCTGTTGGTCTGACCCAGTATGGCCATTCTTAAGTTCTTATCTTATTTATATCTGTTTTTGGGGGGGAGGGGGAGGATTTATATTGGCACCCTTCACTATAGTTTCTGAGCACTTCCCACTTTAATTAGATTGGCAAAGCAAGGTCCCTAATTGGATTTCTTGGGGTCTTCTGCTCTTCTCACATCCCTGATTATGGGGGCTCTGCATAGAGCAGATTTTGGAGTAGGTACAAGGGGCAATTGTACATGCCAACCAGGTCATGTTGGAAAACTGGTTTGTTGATTTCTCTCTCTAAATGCTTGGGAGTTGCTTAGGTATCGTGGTGATGGCAGCCATATAAGTATCTACATAGATCTGGAAAGATGTATTGTAGTTCATCCAGTGGTGGATCATCCACAGTTTACTCTCCCATATGTCCACATGGATGATATGCTTGGTATACCATCACTCTGACTGACTAAGTGGGTCATAGATTGGGCCGAAGTGGGATATGCAATTAATTATTGATTTACATGGCATCTTTCACAAGAGCCAAAGTGTGCCTTTCCATATCAGATATTGAGAAACTCTTCATATCGACCAGACCCATTATCTATCTGGCTTCTGGTATTTTCGTTTTTACTACAGAGTCACATGTAATGACTGTTTGAAAACAGTTCAGTAGGTGGTGGTATCTCTGTC